AATAGGCTAATACAACTGTCCGTGGGACTACTCTACAACCTGGCTTCTGGAGCTAACCTACCTTTAAAAGGCAAAATTATGCTTTAATCTCACTTAAACCCAGCCCCAATATCTTTGCACTGCATTGAACCTCTGTCTAAGAATATTTTAGTTACTATTGCACTGGTCTGATGCACAGAGACTGATAAACTAAAGCCCTGGGGTTTTAACTCCTGCCCCAACTAGGTGATCTGAGTCAGTATTTATGTCTCTTTTTCAAAGCAGCTATCTGAAGCTCCCTAACATGTGCAGCTCTGGACATCTCCAAGATGAGCAGGCACCACAAAAAGACTTAGCCATTTTTCTCTAAAGGTGTGTTACTAGACTCAGCAAATCCCTGCTTTGAGCTTCCTGTCTGAAAAAAATATTTTCAATTTCTTGAAGGAAAAAAACCCCAACCCTGAACACATAAAAGCCCCACAAGAGATTAACTGAACGAGTTATCATTTCACATGTACAATAGCTTCCTCACAAAACATTTATTAGTAGAATAATGGAAACATTTAGGTTGGAAAAGACCTCTAAAATCAAGTCCAACCACTAATACAGAACTGCCAAGTTGTCACTAGAGAATTTCTCAGATGAAGGATTCACTTTGTTACAGTCATGAAACTGGGGTGGGGAGAGGGTAAATGGATGTTTCTAAACCCCATTCTCCTGCTCTGCTGAACTACAGCTGAAGTTATCGTCTGTTTTCAAAGAAATTAACAAAATAACTATTGCTCAGGGGCAGACAATATGCAATTTGCTATTGAATATGGAACAATGGGTGAATCATTCTTCGATCCACCACAGCCTCCTCATTTGTTTTCATTGCAAGCTGAGCTCTTCTTTCCAAGGCAGGCTGTCAGGATTCTCAATGTCACCGGGGCTCTTTTGTTTCTGCCAGGAGCACTTCTTTTGATGGACAGTAGAAAATTGTCCGGTTTTTCAATTCAGGTGCTCACTGCACAATTCAGTCAAGAGCAACTAATAACCCAGGCATTGCTGCTGCATTGATTTTTGTACAAGGTGTTCTATCGTTTTATGGCACTGAATTTAGACAAAGTTGCTTTAATTTTCTCCCAAGGAAATATAATGAAATTTCTATGAAAGAAATACACTTTTCCCCATAATTGGATCATTCTCTGTTGTTCTTTTTCCCCCTGCAATTTCTTCAAGTACTGACATTTTACTTCTTAGAGACAAGACAATGAAATTCCCATCTCAGCCTATGTAATCCCTCAGAATTGAATGTAAATGACTGCTCAGCAGTACCAATGGCAACTGAAAACCAGGTGGTTTTAAAAATGGACAGAATGAGGATAAACTGAAACTAAGTACATTTTGACTGGGCTATCCTCTTACCAGCATTCTACTGGATAGTGTTCTCCTTAGTATGAAGATTTCAGAACGTGTTGTTATAACTGAGGTAAGAAGCTCTCTCCAGTAGCACTGTGGAAAAACATTTCATATTCTCAAAGTAAAAGAATCCCTTTTTCCTAGTGAAACATTGCATCTTGCTTTAAGAAAACTGCACAGGATCACACTGAGTGGAGAGATTTTTTCCTAGGATTTTTCATATAAAAATAAAACATCAAGCTGAGAGCTGAAGGCAAGCAGTGAAGGTTAGCAGTGTGGAGGTTTATAACACAGGTCAGTTGGAGAGTCACCAGCTTCTTTCAGAGAAAGAGTAAAATGTACCATGAAATGGAAAATAATAATTCACTCAGCAAGGTCAGTGCCTCCCTGTAGGAGTTCGGCAAAGATCAGTATCTCCAAGGTATTATTACTTTATTAGCGTGTTTAATTTTGGCCCTGAAAATAAGAAGACTGAACAGAGGTGCCCAGATGACCATTAAAAGTGGTATACCAAGGACTTCTTCCCTAGGCTCATTGGAGATTTCCAAGCATGTAAGGAGGTCTCAGACATACTAATATCTTTAAAGAAATAAGACTAAATTTTCATTTTACCTGCTTCCTCTGAGATAATGCTTTTCTTGGATGAGGAGAGGAAATGAGATTAAATTATACTACCCTTTCCCTAACTCCTAACTTCAAAATTAAAGGCAGCTCTCAAAAATAGCTTTCTAGGTTTTATTGTTCTTCAGTTTTTGAGATTCTAGAGTATACTCGCATCATAGTTTCTTTCCTAAAAACAAGAGTATTAGAAAAATGTTTCTAAATTAAAATTTACAGTACCACTTTATTAATGATGTGTGGGATTACAGATATAAAGAATAACACCAAATACTGCAAGAGCTCACCCCACCCCATGCTTTGTGATCTCTTCTTTGCCTGTAACTTTCTGCTGTTGAAAACACATTCTCTCATCTCACTCCCATATTGGAGGAAAAAAATTGTCCACGGCTGTCATCAACCACGCCTTGCCACAGTTTCCAGGCTTTCTGTTCTTATTTCCAAATACTTCCTAAACTGATTCAGTCACAAGTAGTCAGCTCAGCTCATGGACTATCAATTTGCTGTTTAGGTTGAATATAAATCTATTAAGCCCATATGCCTGCTGTGTGCTGAGTGAATTGGGGAGCACCCACTTGAGATACTCTGCTGGTTGCCTGGAACAAGTGGTAATGGAAAGAAATCAGTTTGTTAGTGAGAAGAGCACATCACACTCAAAGAAGAGGCTTTCCTTACTGGACCAAACATGTGCTTTTCTTGCTTCTCCTCTCTCAACTAGTGTACTTTGCTGCATCTAGCTGAAGAATGAGAGCAGCATCAGTCAATCCCACTGGAACGTGTTCTGTATCCATCTGTTTGCTTTGTAAATGGCTCCCCAAAGGGGTTCACATGCTGTTTTTCCAAATGGTGCCTATGAAACTCTATCAGTTATTATTCTATACCTAGTGGTGATCTACAACAGGTTTTTCTTGAGATGTCGTTAACTGTCAGCATAAATTGAACAAATATGCAAATGCAATTTACACATTTAATACCACTGTGGAGATGATGATTAAATTACCGTTATCACTTTGAAAACATACTGTCCCATGCAAATAGCTAACAAATTACCCAAGCACTTTGCTCAGACCTTTGCCTAAATAATGTTATTACTTGGCAACTGTGAACACATTTGGTGTTAGACACATTAATAATGCTCTGATCTCATCCCAAAGAAATTATGTCTCAGTTAAACATTTTGCTTCACCAGAGGTATAGCAGCCCTGTAGAACACTGTTGACGAACTGCAACTTTTAAGCGCTTGAACGTGTCTATTTTTTAATTTCCCTGTGCTCACACAGGTACATCCCAAGCAGTAGCACCCTGGCGTTACAGAGGCCACACCCCACCACGGATGCACCAAACCGGCAGCAAACAGGGCAGAAAGGGGCTGAGAGGTCGCCTGGAGGTGGGTCTGGAGGTGGGTCATGGCAATGGGGAGCACTAGGTGCTGCGTGGCGCTGGAGCACTGAGCGTTGCTTGGGCCACGTTTCCCTTGTTCACTCTCATTAATGCTGGTCCAGGTGAGCAGACTGGGGTCTGCACGAGGCAATTTTGGCCCAGTGGGAGGGCCATTGTGGAGGAATACATTCAGTGCAGATGGTTCTTGCATTCAGCTGCAGTGTGAGCTGCAGGTTGAGCTCCTGGGGCGCATGAGCCTGAGCCCAAAGCAAGATGCTGTGGACAGCCAAAGGGTACTGGGACCTGTGGCGGTGGCCATGTGACCAGACACTCAGGGACACAGTAGGAGCCAAGGACTCCAGACTTTACTCCGCTTGGACTGTGAGGGTGTAAAAGCCCAGGGTTCCTTTCTTTGGGGTCCCTCCTTGCATGCACCAACTCGAGCTGTTATTTTGTTGTTGTACCATGATTAAATTATTATAAGGATTGAGACGTCTGAGGTTCTGCTATGGGAAACCTGCTGGAGTGGCTCCTGAATGGCCAGGCAGGGAAGTTTCCTTAACACCATCCCAGGACTGTGTGGTCCTGTTGGTCAAGCAGCACAGGGTTCTGCTAAGGTGCTGTGCCACAACACAGTGCTTTCTGAGACCTTCGCCTGGGAGGCTGTGGGAAGCCTTTGGTGAGCTCTGAATGAAGTGGGGGGAATCCATCTGGGCACTTGGGACAGAGTGACCCTGGATATCTGTACAGACTGGGGAATGAGATGCTGGAAAGCAATGCCATGAAAAGGGACCTGGAGGTCCTGGTCGACAGCAGGCTGAATATGAGTGAGCAGTGCCCTGGCAGCCAGGAGGGCCCACCCTGTCCTGGGGGGCATCAGGCAAAGCATCGCCAGCTGGTTGAGGGAGGGGATTGTCCCACTCTGCTCTGCACTGGGGAAGCCTCACCTTGAATATTGTGTGCAGTTTTGGGCACCACAATATACAAAAGATATTAAGCTGGTAGAGAATGTCCAAAGAAGGGCAACAAAGATGGTGAAGGGCCTTGAGGGGAAGCCGTATGAGGTCACTTGGTCTGTTCAAACTGGAGGAGGCTGAGAGGAGACCTCATTGTTGACTACAGCTTCCACAGGAGGGGAAGAAGTGGGGCAGGCACTGATCTCTTCTCTGTGGCAGGACCTGATGGAATGGCCTGAAGCTGTGTTGGGGAGGTATAGGTTGGATATTAGAAAAAGGTTCTTCAAGCAGAGGGTGGTTGGGCACTGGAACAGGCTCCCCAGGAAAGTAGTCACAGCACCAAGCCTGACAGAGTTCAAGAAGTGTTTGGACAGTGCTCTCACGAACATGGTGTGACTCTTGGGGATGGTCCTGTGGAGGGCCAAGAGTTGACTTGATGATCCCTGTGGGTCCCTTCCAACTCAGAATATTATGCAACCCTGTCATGAGGTGAGCGCCTCACGGCAGAGGCTGCCGAGCGGGGCGGGACTGAGGCCCGGCGGCACCAGAGCTCAGCCCTGGGCAGCCCCCGGCGGGCCAGGGCGGGTGCTGTCCCCGCTGTCCCCGCCCGCCGTTGCCTGGGACGCCTTTCACGACAGTGTCGCGGCGGTGCTGCCGTACGGCTGCCGCACGGTTTCCGGCGGGCCGTGCTGATGGCGTCTGGGCTGCAGAGGGAGCAGAGCCGGGAGCAGCGAGAGCAGGAACAGCGGGAGGCGCTGCTGGCCCAGGTGGGGGGCTCGGCCCGGCCCGGCTTTGCCCTGGTGCTGCTCAGTCCCTTCTGTCACCCAGGCTGGGCCCTGGGTGCTGCGCGGGGTCAGTGCGCTCCCGGGGGCCGCCCTGGGGGGGAACGCCCTGGGGGAGCCCCTTGTGAGCCGAGGGGAGCCGGGATGCGGCACCGGGAGCGGCAGGACGCAGCCGGGAACTGAGTTCGTGCTTTTTGTCGCTTGTGGTATTGATCCGAGTGGTGTTTCACTTCCTACGTGTTTCTAGGCTTACACCTTTGAAAAGAACCAGGACCGGTCGCCTTTACACCCTCTCTTCAGATTTTTATATACATTGATGACACCACCCCCGCTCCCCGGCCTTCTCTTCTTTAGACTAAACAGCCCCAGTCTTAGACCTTCCTTAAATGAGACATAAGAGGCAACTCCTCCTTGTCTTCCTGTCCTGTATTTCCTAAAGAGTCCGTATCCCTACATTACGACATTCTGGTCACTGAAGTGAAGTGGTGTGTGTTTGTGTTAAGAAGTGTTTTTGTGGAGTCATGATGTTACTTGCTTGGTTCTGTGTTGCTGTAGTGAGAGCCAAGAATTAGGAAGCTCCCACTCACAGGTGCTTTGATGGAGTTGCTGTGACTTGGAGATCTGTGCTGATCCTGATCCATTCTGTTCAAAATCTGCCTATATGCCATGTTAGGCACTTGTGCTGATTCTTGTTTTAACTTGTAGGTAGAGTGAGTGCTGGTGTCATAAATGGCACATCAGTTGGATGACATGATTCATTTTGAAGTTTGAGGAGTAGGGGATAGATAACTACATAGAAAGAAAAGAGTATGAGGAAGACAGGGTAAGGAAAAAGTATGAGGTTGTGAGGATGGGCTTTTGACGGAAGGCCAGAGTAAGCAGCAACCAAATCTTACTGGGCAAAGATATTTTCACAAAAAAAAAAGTAGTGGGAAAACAGCCAGAATAGCTTGAAGCTTACATGTCAGTGATGTCTTTTCTCAAGGCAAAGCAGAGAGAGGACTTCATATAATAGGTCATATGGGCGTCTCCCTTGTACAGTTGTGGAAGTGTTTCTTGTTTCTAGAAGTTCTCTTCAGTGATCTCCCCCTTTTTGACAAACAGTTGAAGGGAAATTCCTTTAACTTAGTAACAGTGAACCATACTCCTCTGCAAAAGTTTGTTATTGTTGTCTTTTGCTGTATTTGAACTACTGTATGATATGTTTAAGAATGCTCCTTTGCTCAGTTCAACCTCTTGGATGTTCAGAAAATGCACTTAACAGGAAGCAAAACTTATGTAGGACACCGTTATCCTGCTTTACCTTTACATTTTCTTCTCCACTGGTACCACTTGTATTTGCTTAGAATCCTAGAACAGCATTGGTTGAAAAGACTTTGAAAGATCATTTGGTCCAACCCTTTGTGGATTAGGGAGTCTAGATGAGATTACGTAGTACTCTGTTGAATCATGTCTTGAAAAACTCCAGTGCTGGGGTTAAGGGAACTTTCCTGTCTGACCATCCAGGAGCCTCTCTGGCAGCCACACTCCCACCACCTGAGACTTTTTCTGCCGGGACTGGAGCCCCTTCATAGTGGGTGGCTCCTGTGAGCTGACGGGTGCCCCACTTGACTCGCTACACACCCCACTCACACAGTCAGACCTGGTTTCCTTACCAGTTCAACCCCAGGTTTCCCACAGTAGAGTCTCAGATGTCTGGATCCTTAAGACTATTTAATGATGGTGCAAAACACAAAACCAGCTTGAGCTGGTGCTTCAAACAACACAATTCCTGGGCTTTTATACCCTTAAAGTCTATACAGTCTGATAGTCTGGGGTATTCCTGCTGAGTCGTGGGCTCCTGCTGTGTCTTTCAGTGTCTCTTCTCCTGGCAGGTTCCACAGGGCCCCATGTCCTTTGCTGTGCAAAGGGTTGGCACCAGTTCATGGCCTCTTACTTGGGGCTCTCACCATTTCCCACCACCTAGGGCACAACCTGGGGCCTCCACTGCAGCTACACTGAGCTACCTGCACTGAATCCGTTCCTCAACAGGGATCCCACCTGCTGTGGAAAAGGCAATGAATTTGTGTTTAACCTCTCATCATATTTAGGTAAGTCCCAATTTATGGAGGCAGGAAGGCTGAAGAGGGAGGTTTGGTTGCTGGAGAAGCTGCAGCAATGAGCCAAAATCGTTCTCACAGAGGAAGGGTTGATGCTGGGGATGAGAGCACTTCTTCATGCTTAGGATGTATGGGGAAAAGGGGACAGGTTGGTTTTGGCAGACTTTGAATTGTTCCTAGAAAGCATGGCATCTTGAGCGTGGCATCTCAAGAAGAACTGAACAGCCTTGGAGAAGATGGGAAGAAAATATTCAGGGATGGTCATGGTACAGGCTGTTCAAGGACACTAAAGGTTCTGAGATGAGGAAAAATAGGCTGAAAATAAAGTTAATTTGAGAGAGTTCGGTAAAATCATTAGGTGATATGGAGAAGGAAATGGAGAATTGCTGTCTGCTGTTTCTTTTGACTCAAGAACTAGGTTGTATTAAGGAATTTGCAGGTAGTTGTCTTAGAGCAGACAAAAGAAGGAACTTTCAGATGATGCACAGAGAAACTGTAGGATCTCTTGTATAGCATGTTGCAAATACTGACACTCCACTTCCATCCAGATGATAATAGCCTAAAAGCAAAACTATATGTTGAAAGTTATTGATTGAAAAGTTGCTGAACCTCAAATTCCTGGAGGATACAGGAATGTTTTGGAGATGGTTCATTTGGACTTAACCCTGTTTTACACTCTTGTCAGCTTCCGTGTGCATTGCTGGACATTTTTAAGTTGGGATACCAGCTTAGATTCTCAGTTCTGAGAGTGTCAGAGCTCTCAGAAGTCTAATACAGGGAAACAGAAGGGAGTGTGATTTGTGAAATACTAGTCACTATAGTTCTTCAAGTCCATTTTTTGTGGAATGTAGGAAGGGATCTGGAGACAATGACATCGTTTTCTGCAGGATATAACCATTAGAGGTGCTTGGTCCCTCTATGACCACTGAGAAACTTCTGTGATGTGACTTTTCAGCTTCCTACTGGAAATGCACATTATAGAGTCTGTTTTATTTTTCCATGGTGTTATCTTTTCACTTCCAAGCAACCTAAAGCTAATTCGGATTCTCTGATTTTCAGGGATTCTCCTGGGTGCATTGGGTAGCACTGAAACATAAATTAATGATCAAATGGTTTTCTTTGCTGCTGCTTGTGAAATTGCTGTGTTCATCATCTTATGTATGCTCTTGAACTGTTTCTTTTCCGTGCAGTAAGAACTAAAACTTGTAGTAAGGAGAGGATATGTTGAAGGTTGGGAGTTTCCCCCCACCCCCTTTTCTGTACCAGAGTTTTAGAATGTGTTAGCAAAAGTCCTATACAAGTCCATATGGAACAAAGGAGGCTGTAGAGGTTGCTTTATCACTAATTTGACTGTTAGAGAAATTTAGGAATGAAACTTTTTTTTTTTAAACTTATTGCATGTTTCCTCTTCCCATTTATGGACCCAATAACCCAATATTAAGCTATATAAAAGGACAACATTTTAAGACTTCTCCTGTAGCTACTCTGTTATTTCTGTGAAAAGTCAATTTATCATTTTATAACATGAAAACATGAGGATGTCATAGTTGCCATGTCAGTACTCTGCTGTGTGCAGTTTTGAGTGAACAATATAAGAAAGATATTAATCTTTTAGAGAGTGTCCAAAGGAGGACGACAATGATGGTGAAGCCGTATGGGGAGTGTCTGAGGTCAGTTGGTCTGTTCAACCTGAAGAAGAGGAGACTGAGAGGAGACCTCACTGCAGTTACAGCTTCCTCATGAGAGGAAGAGGAGGGGCAGGAACTCATCTGTTCAGTCTGGTGACCAGTGACAGGACTGAGGGAATGGCCTGAAACTGTGTCAGGGGAGGCTGGATATTAAGTAAAGGTTTTTCACCCAGAGGGTGGTTGGGCACTGGAACAGGCTCCCCAGGGAAGTGGTCATGGCTCCAAGCCTGACAGAGTTCAAGAAGTGTTTAGACAACGCTTTCAGGCACATGGTGTGATTCTTGGTGTTGTTCTGTGCATGGCCAGGACTTTGACCTTGATGATCCTTGTGGGTCCCTTCCAACTCAGGATATTCTATGATTCTGTGAACAGAACTGGGGGAAAACAGCAAGGCTTTAGCTCAATGTGTTTTGACTGTCTTGCTTGCAAAGGCAGAAAGACACGTGCATGGACTTTTCACAGCTGGCTAACATAGTAAAGTCAGTTATTTGGTGGTTGCAGTCCTAGAAGCTCCTGCGTTTTACTTTTGGAAAGACATTTGGGAAGCTGTGTAGGTCTTTGATTCTGATAATCTGATAAGTTTTCAGTCATAACTGTACTTCAGCAGCTCTGTTTCTGCAAAGATGAGATGTTCAACTAACTCACCTTGAGGAGCTTTTTGTTATGAAATACTGAACTTGCACTTCTTTTGAAGAACCAGCATGTCACTGAATTCATTGATTGAGATTTCTCTTTTAAATTTTGGAAGTGTATTCTTTTATTTGTGTAGTCTGTCCTCCCAACTGCATTGGTAAAGCCCAGCAACTGGTAATGTTTATGGTAATGATCAGTAATCAAATAATTAAGTGTTGACATGCAAATTGTTATTAACCTTCAGAAATAGCATCTCGTTTTGATGAGCCTGATAGTTCATGACACTGTTGTTTTGGTTTACAAATTTACAGCAAGAAAATAATCTGATGTGTGTTTTGGTAAGTGCAGGGATGTGTACTTTTCGTAGACATGAACACTTCTTCTCTTGGTAAAATCTATCAAGATTTCATTTGTGGGTTATTCTGGTATCTGTGCTATCATATTTCTGTATTTTAGGGTTACTCTTCTGTTACTTGGTTTTTTTCCATGGACTTTGAGTCTTCCACTCTGTGGCCTCTGAGGGTGATGTGATTTGACTATTCCTTGTGCAGAAAAAACTGCCTTT